TTGTAGTAGTAGTAGTAAATGTATTCTCTGCCTCTCCCTGCAGCTCAAAGCAGGATACACGATTCTGACCAAATTTTAAAGTGGAAATTAGAAAAGGAGAAAAGCCTGATGGGTTTCATATACAAGAAATTAGTTGGAAAAGAATATATGGTAAATTGAAACAAAAAACCCCAAAAGAACAAACTGCTTTCCTCAAATTCTCTGCAATTAAATTTTAACAAGGACCGTTAAAAGCATGGTTTTATGCTATGAATGCTATTAGGTACACAGAACAAAATATGGGATAAACATAAATGTTTAAATACCGTTAAATTACAGAATAATTGTAAAGGGGTTTTTGAAACTTAACATACAAAAGCACCTAAAATATCCCAACCCATTAAGTTCCCTTTGGCCAACAGCCCTCATTTATATGCCATTAAAATCAATGCAGATATTATACTTCCACATGAGGATTCCAGTGTGCTAAGTGCTTAATCTCTTAACTGACTCCTCCAGGACCTTGACAGGATTAGACATTAGGCTACTAAGAGAGCTGCAGATCATGGCCTGAACCCAATTAGGCCTCTTGCTTTAATACAATTATCTTAGTGAAATTCTATTGTTAAGATGTGGGCAGAAGAAGCACTTTTTAATGCTACACAGTCGAGAACATGCTGCAAATGAGTATGTGATGCTCACATTTAAGAAAAGGTACCCAGCTTTCCCAAAAAGAACAAAACCCCAGAACAGATTAGTTGTAAAAAGAAATCTGTTGCTTTGAAACACACATAGTATCCAAAATATTGCCAATTGCAACATGACAAGGCCCTGAAATTTAAGAAAACAAAACTGTCCAGAAAGGAAGCTGGCTTCATGCATGTAGAACAGTGGTTCCCAACCTTATTTTGACCAGGGACTACTTGACCAGGGCCCACTCTCCAACATTAGTATGAAAGGGTTACAAATCAGTTTTTGGTCAACTTCAGATTCGGTTTAGTTATTTGGGGTTGATTCAGAAAACTGCATTGGATAGACCATATAATCTCTAGTTTCTGATACAGAACATATGCCATCCAGTAGTCACTATCTGCTCGCCCACAGAAAACCATATTTAATAAGCCTCGGCACTATAAGAGGGTTTTGCAAGACCAGTTGTTTTAGTTAAAATGGTGTGGTATGACACAGGGACACAAAGAAGTCTATGAAGGTCCCAAGAACCAAACTGGATCCCACTAAGGGTCACATGCATCCTGCAGGCTGTACATTTCTCATCCCTGGACTAGAGGTAAGCTTTCTCTTATTGGGGTTTCTGAAGAAAAAGATGGCAAGCCATATCAAAAAAAAAATCCTTTTGGTGCTTTATTTCCTACAAGCTAAGAAAGGATAAAATGAGCCCTATTCAATATGGTACCCTTGAGATGCGTTGGACTACATCTCCCACAACCAACAGTTCCATCGTATAAAGAAAAACACAACAAGATGCAAAGGATTACATCAGGCCAATGGTATACAAAAATGAACGAATGCAGGCAGTCATGCAGGATTCTTGCAGAGAGAGAATACAGAAAGCATAGCACTGACTCACCGATCCATTGTTTGGCTGAAGTGGGAAAAGATATAAATATTAACAGACTGTATCAAAGGAGAAACAATACACAAACCTAGTTTAAATCTCCAAACAAATCTGAACTTTGGTCTAAACTCCTGAAGTTTCAGGTTTTCATACAGCATTAAATACCTGCTACATCACACAACCAAACTATTTGTGTCCAGTCATTTCAGTTTAGTTTTGTAATTTCTGGCACAAATTAATTATTTAGCTGATTCAGCTTCAGACTTTCCCAAGGAAAACATTGCCTGGATTTCAATTAATCTGTTTCCTTTCATGGCACTAAGCAATAACAAGATTGTGACTGAATTTTATCGAATACATTGAACGTGGTTTCCATACAAAAATACAAATTAACAAGCATTTTGAAGGTATTTAAGAAGGTTCTGATGGTCAGAATATTCTTCCAAGACCAGAGAAATTTAACATGCATTCAGACGTAGTCACTGACATGTCCAGGATAAAACAAAAAGCTGGGGTAAAAAAGCTACAGTGATATATTGCCTGAAGACAAAGTACAAGATGGAAGATCCCGTTGTTCATGAAACTCTGTAGTAGATGAAAATAGGAGTTCCACTCTATTCCACATGTCAACCAACCCTGCTGGCATAACATTGAGTGCTACCTGGGTTTAATTCAGATCTGGGGAAAAACAGGATTTTTAAGACTACAATTCATTATGGTCAATGAGTCTTACTACTTAGTTAATATTGATAGCATTGCAACCTTAATGAAAATCTTATGGGCAGAATCATAAATTAGGAACATTTCTTTCATCAACATGCAGATTGTGGCTTCTTGGCACATACTTACTGTACTCAGAAGAAAGAATGTGAAAACAATACATTAAAGAGATGTCCAGGCAGTCTCCGAGTTACAAACATCAGTCATAAAAATTACTTATAGTTAAGAACGGGGATGAAATAACAGGAAGTAAGAGAAATCTAACCCTAGGAAGGGAAATTCACTCATGAAAGAGTTTTCATGAGGTAAAAAAAAGTGTCTCCATTGACACTTTCTCACCAATCCTTGTTTCCACAACAAGCCAATTTCTTTCAAAATCCAATTATCACAGGGATAGAAAGTGAGGCGAAATCTTCTGAACGATACCAAAGAGAGCAAAGCAAACGCCACAGGGGTATTAACTCTTTCCTATGTTATCCAAAACATGTATGTATTATTTATTTATTTATTGTTTATTTAAAACGTTTATGTTTCGCCTTTCTCATCCCAAAGGGGACTCAGGGTGGAGCACAACATATATATGGCAAACATTCAATGCCGGAACATCTATATAAATTAAAAAGTAATGTTCGTTTGTGGGATTAACATAACTCAAAAACCACTGGACGAATTGACACAAAATTTGGACACTATACCCCTAACACACCAATGAGTGACCATCACTCACAACCCCCCCCCAAATGGAAGGATCTAAAACCCCAAAAAGCTAAATGACAATACAGAAAAAAGGGAAGAAAAGAGAGGAAGGAGAAAAAGAAAGAAAGGAAGGAAGGAAGGAGAGAAAGGGGAAGGAAAAGAAAGGAAAGGAAAGAGAGAAAGGAAGCAAGGAAGGCAAAGAAGAAGGAAGGAAAGAGGTAGAGAAGGAAGAAAGGAGAAAAGAGGGATGAAAAGAAAAAGGGGGAGGAAAGAAAGAGGTAGAGAAGGAAGGAGGAAGAAAAGTAAGAAAAAGGAAAGGAAGGAAAGAGGTAGAGAAGGAAGAAAGGAGAGAAAGAGGGAGGGAAGGAAAGAAGGAAAGACAGAAGTATGGAAGGAAGGAAAGAGGTAGAGAAGAAAGGAAGGAAAAAAGGAAAGAAGGGAAGGAAGGAAAGAGAGAGCGAAGGAAGGAGGGAAAGAAGGAGAGAAAGAGGGAGGGAAGGTTGGCCACAGCAACACGTGGTGGGTACAGCTAGCAAACTATAAATATACAACACTAAAATCAGTTATATCTACTTTGAAATCAATTGTTTAAACCATTTCAAAAACAACCATATTGACTCTGATCAGCAGTGTGGGTTTTCTATTATTGCCTTATTGCACTGTCTCAAAAGCTTGGTCCCACAGCCAGGTTTTTACCATCGTTCTGAATGACAAGAAGGAAGGGACTGATCTAATATCACCAGGGAGGGAGTTCCATAGCCGAGGGGCAATCACTGAGAAGGCCCTCTCTTTCCTCTCTGCCAATCATGCCTGTGATGGTGGCGGGACCGAGAGAAGAGCCTCCCCAGAAGATCTTAGTCTCCGCGGTGGTTCATAGAGGGAAATGCATTCTGACAGGTAAACTGGGCCAGGGCCGTTTAGGGCTTCATAGGCCAAAGCCATCACTTTGAATTGTGTCCGGAAGCAAACTAACAGCCACTAGAGCTGACGCAACATGGGAGTTGTGTGCTCCCTATATGCCACCCCAGTTATTAATCTGGTTGCCTCTCGTTGGACTATTTGAAGAATATATGAAGAAGAGAAGGCTGAGAGGGGATATGATAGCCATGTATAAATATGTGAGAGGAAGCCACAGGGAGGAGGGAGCAAGCTTGTTTTCTGCTTCCCTGGAGACTAGGACACGGAACAATGGCTTCAAACTACAAGAGAGGAGATTCCATCTGAACATGAGGAAGAACTTCCTGACTGTGAGAGCCGTTCAGCAGTGGAACTCTCTGCTTTGGAGTGTGGTGGAGGCTCCTTCTTTGGAGGATTTTAAGCAGAGGCTGGATGGCCATCTGTCAGGGGTGATTTGAATGCAATATTCCTGCTTCTTGGCAGGGGGTTGGACTGGATGGCCCATGAGGTCTCTTCCAACTCTTTGATTCTATGATTCTATATAGATCTATGGATGTATGTCTGTGGATAGATAGATAGGTAGGTAGATAGGTAGATAGATAGATATGCCTGCCCTGACGTACAACAAATTCAACGTAAGAATACATAACCTATTTTACTTGTAACTTAGGGACTACCTGTATATTACTTTATTTTTGCCAAGACAGACCTCTCTGCCATGTCCATCTGAATTCCTGAAATTACTTCAGGAATATTCTAAGCTGAAACTTCCCAAAAACAGTGTCAAAGGCAAGTCGTTCAAGGCCACTTAAAATATTTTCTGTGTAAATGCCCAGTTCAGTAAGTGAATGAAAGGAAGGCAGATTTGGTTTATCTTGTTTTACAGTCCCTTCTTCCCCTGAAATCCTCCAAATCGCATCCTACACTTTAACAAACGAGTCCCTGTGTATTATAAACATATAAAAAGTCAACATTGAAATTCCACTGATAAAAACAAAAGACATTAAGTACCAGCAGATGCATAACACAACATATTGTGTGTGCGTGTGTGCGAGGAGTGATTTGATAAACTGTAAGTCGCTTCTGGTGAGAGAACTGGCTGTCTGCAAAGACGTTGTCCAGGGGATGCCCGGATGTTTTACCATCCTCTGGGAGGCTTCTCTCATGTCCCCACATTAGAAGCTGGAGCTGACAGACAGGAGCTCACCCCACTCCCCGGATTCCAACCACCGACCTTTTGGTCAGGAGTCCTGCTGGCACAAAGGTTTAACCCATTGCACCACTGGGGGCTACACATCCATAAGTGCGCCATATTCACGATTCCCATATAGTCACGATAGCAGCACTACTGACACTATCATAACTCCCTTGGCATCAAATGAAATTGTTCTAATAATGATTGGGGGGATGGATGGATGTTTCTGATTCATGCCAACAATGAGCTGCTAGCCTGTGACAATCACAAGCAGAACCCTATAACAATTCCTTGTACAGCCTCATATCTAGAAGCGAAGTGGAAACATCAATCACAGGTGGCCCCATTGCCAGCTAAATGGATTTCCTTCTTCTCTTGCTGTTGCTGATGCCCAAGAAAGCAAGTTTGTTTGTTTGTTTGTTTGTTTGTTAGTTGGGGGGGCAGAGTCAAGCCCACAAAAATTGTTTTGTTATTCAAAGGTAACTAAGCAGCCAATATAGAATACTAACCAATTGTTAAATAATTTAAAACATTCCCCTAAAAGGCAGAAGCATCCTCTGTCTATCTAAGCCCTTGCCTCATCATACAATGGGATAGAAAAGATTTAGGTTCTAATCCCACTTTTCCAAAAAAAAAATTTAAAAAAAATAGGGAGGTCTGACTTACGCACCTGTCTTTAAAGGGAAAGAAGATGCCATATGCACATATTATGCAAGCAAGAGGAAGAAGAGGAGGAAAAGGAGGAAACTATTATATTCTACATGCAGCTTCCCCCCCCCTCGAAAAAAGAAGTAAGACCTTTGAAATCTAAGGTATTATTTGGTGTTTTAACAACCCATCACCACCTTATAATGAGAATGTGACCAGAAATTTGCTTTTTCCACAGCACCTTTCAAACACTTCTCCTTTCTTTAACAACCAGCTTTTACCTACTAAGTACTCAAACTTGGAAAACGGTCAGAAAAAGTCAGGTGACTACCAGTGTTTGAACCAAAGTCCCTACATAAAAGCAACCTTTGTGTCACTCTCAGCTCTTTGAACTGTATGAGGCACTACAGTGGAAACAGTCAAGTTATTCTGTAAAGCATAATCTGTTCCAATGAAGGCACATGAATTATGTATATATGATAAGTGTACAAGGTGTGAATTTGTACCTTGGGAAATAGAGAGCCAGTTCCTGAGCCAAGCATACAATGTAAACTGAACAAATTGCAGGTAATATTGGTTGGGAGTGGAGAAGCTATGGCCTTTCCAGCTCCCACTGCTATTGATCCTGCTTGCTAGGGATGATGGAAATGAGAGTGCCATAACTCCTGCAGGGCTATAGGCTCTCCATCTCTATTTTATAACAAGCTTAAATTGAATTCCTAACCATCCTTTCAATTTAAGATAAAAAACCAGACCTATGGTTCAAGACAAGATATACTCTGAGCATCAGTTTGGTCCCACAGTTAGGTCCAACAAGGTAAAGGTTTTCCCCTGACATTAAGTCTAGTTGTGTTGGTGCTCATCTCCATTTCTAAGCCGAAGAACTAGCGTTGTCCATAGAATCCGTAGAATCATGTGGCCGGCATGACTGCATGGAGCTTCGTTACCTTCCTGCCTGAGTGGTACCTATTAATCTACTCACATGTGCATGTTTTCGAACTGCTAGGTTGGCAGAAGCTGGGGCTAACAGCGGGAATTCCCTCACTCTCCAGATTCGAATTGCCGACCTTTTGGTCAGCAAGTTCAGCAGCCTAGCAGTTTAGCACGCTGCACCACCGAGGGCTCCAACAAACAGTTATAGAAATTATGGCATCTTGGAACAAGTCTAAAAAACAGCCTTTTTAAAGCACAGATGCAATACCCTTGATTTTATCAAAGGAAAGCACATTTTTCCAAGTTATCAAGACAGACTTTTTAATGGATCTCGCACAGCAAGGGACTAGACCAGGGGTCCTCAAACTTTTTAATCAGAGGGCCAGGTCACAGTCACTCAAACTGTTGGAGTGCCGGATTATAATTTGAAAAAAACATGAAGTCCTATGCACACTGCACATATCTCATTTGTAGTTCAAAAACACTTAAAAACAATACAATAATTAAAATGAAGAACAATTTTAACAAATATAAACTTATTAGTATTTCAATGGGAAGTGTGGGCCTGCTTTTGGCTGATGAGATAGGATTGTTGTTGTTGTTGTTGTGTGCTTTCAAGTCGTTTCAGACTTAGGTTGACCCAGAGCAAGGGCCAGGTAAATGAACTTGGAGGGCCATATCCGGCCCCGGGCCATAGTTTGAGGACCCCTGGACTAGACTAAATGTCCCTTTCAATTCTGTGATTCTTAGTTACAATAGCTAAGATTCAACATCCTTGCTTAGGGGAGCATAAACCCATACATAGAGGATCTACATCCACTTTCCCCAAAATCTGGTCTTCCATATGTTTGAACGTCACCTCCCAGAGTTCCTGAGTGTTTTGCAAGCTGGAGGGATGGGGCTTGGGGGAGCTGAAGTCCAAAACCATGGAGAAATTTTGCAGTCTTCAAGACCTGCTGCTTAACTTCCTAGTACCGACTGGCAAGTGCTGCGGAAAACAAGATATTGACCACAATTTGGGTCTGGTGACACACAACCCTCCAAATGTTGCTGAACTGCAGGTCACCACTGGCTGGATCTATAACTGCTATATAATCCAGTATCTGAATGTAGATTTTCTCTTTTGAACTGAATTATATGATTCTATACTGCAGTTTAATTCAGTTCTAAGCAGCTTGGGTGTTCTCCTGGACTCATCGCCAATGAGGCCACATATCGTTCATTCTTAGCCTTGCTGGACCACTGAGAAGATACAATGGGAGAATGGAGAGGAGGTCAAGCCTGCTGTCAGCTTCTCTATTGAGCAAGGAAGCATTTATTACAGCCAAACTACTGCCTTGGTGAAGGAGAAAAGAAAGCACTGAATCCTAATGGAAGTCTCTCTCCCTCTCTTGATAAGTGGCATCATTATCATCAGTGTCACCCAGTGTAGCAACTCATAATGTCAACCCCATGGATCTCCTCCCTTGCTAGACCATACTACAATATTGTAGCCAAAATACCAGAAAAATTGACAAAATCAATGATTACAGAAAACCCAGCAGCAATAACAACAATAGCACATGCCCATAGACCAGAGCTTTCCAACCATCTTAGTTTTTAGACATGCATCATTTTGCAATGCTGTAATTGAGTTTTGCCAGCAAACCAGAGGTTAAATCAATCCCCTATAAGATATATAGACACTTATATAAGCTGTAATAATGAAATGTTTGGGGACACAAACCTTTCATTTATATTGTTAAAAATGTATGACGTAGTGCTTATTTCACATAGACTCAGAGGTTTCTCATTACCTTTGCGTAACACACCAAAACACCGCAACTGACACACTAATGTGTTGTGACGCACAGCTGGTAAAGCTCTGCTGTAGATAACCTCGCACTGCAAAGCACCACAGCCATTGGGAACAATGTCTGCTCTGACTGGAGTGCATGCATATTAGAAAATTTAAAAAGTAAGTCAGCATAGAGTTTTAGCCTTATGAGTATATTGGTTGAGTATCCCTTATTCAAAATGCTCGGGAACAGAAGTATGTCTTGTGAATGTTTGAATTATTGGGGGGGGGGGGTCTACATAGCAGAGTCTCGCTTATCTGACATAAATGGGCAGGCAAAATGTCAGATAAACATAAATGTCGGATAATATGAAGTCTCCTACTGTTACCTGTCCAACACCTAGAACACTAACAACAGGGACTCAAAGGATTAAGGCAAGGCAACACCTCAAGGCTACAACAGCCCAGAAGGAAGTGCCTAGATGCAGAAGAAGAGTGTGGAAATCACAGAGGGAAGGAGGGAAGATGCTTCCACTTCCGGTCCAGCCTCTTTCCCCCCTTTCCTCTCTCCTCCTCCTCCTCGTCTTGCCTTTTACACTTATTGGGAATGGAGAGAGGGTTGGGAAAGCGCTCCTTTAATTGGAGGGGAAATGCTGGAGAAAAGGGGGATGTCGGATAAGAGTGTCGGATACGACGGAATGTTGGATAATCAAACGTCTAGTAAGCGAGACTCTACTGTATTTCAATGTACTATCTTAAAGATGGGATGAAAGTCTAACATGAAATGCATGTATGTTTCATATAAGATTATCCCCTTAACCTGCAAGACATTTTAAAATAATTTTGTATATGAAACAAGAGTTTTTGATTTTTTTAATGTCAGAAACGACTTGAGAAACAGAAAGTCACTTCTGGTGTGAGAGAATTGGCTGTCTGAAAGGAAGTTGCCCAGGGGATGCCCGGATGATTTGATGTTTTACCATCCTTGTGGGAGGCTCCTCTCATGTCCCCGCAAGCGGAGCTGGAGCTTACAGAGGGAGCTCATCCGTGCTCTCCCCGGATTCAGACCTCTGACCTGTTGATCTTCAGTCCTGCCGGCACTTGGGTTTAACCCAGTGGTTCTCAACCTGGGGTCCCCAGATGTTTTTGGCCTTCAACTCCCAGAAATCCTAAAAGCTGGTAAACTGGCTAGGATTTCTGGGAGTTGTAGGCCAAAAACATCTGGGGACCCCAGGTTGAGAACCACTGATCTATACTACAGAATGAATTCAGTTTGACATCGCTTTAACTGCTATGGCTCAATGCTATGGAATCCTGGGGGAGTTGCAGTTTTACAAGATCTTTAGCTTTCGCTGCCCAATAGTGCTTGAACCTCATCAATATACAATCCCATGATCCCATAGCACTGAGTTAAAATAGTGTCAAACTGCATTCATTCTACAGTGTAGATCAGTGGTTCTCAACCTGTGGGTCCCCAGGTGTTTCAGCCTACAACTCCCAGAAATCCCAGCCAGTTTACCAGCTGTTAGGATTGCTGGGAGTTGAAAGCCAAAACATCTGGGGACCCACAGGTTGAGAACCACTGGTATAGATTCACCTTCAGCCTGCCATATGGACAAGTTTGGCTTATTTTGGAATTCCTGATTAAGGGATGCTCAACCTGTATGTGTATAACTGGCTTTAGGGACAATGGCTGTTAGGAATTGTGGGAGTTGAAGTCCAAAACATTTGGACTTCAACTATAGAATGCTACAGAATGAATGCAGTTTGACCCCTCCAATTTACCTGCCATGGCTCAGAGCTATGGAATAATGGGATTTGTAGTTTGGTGGGGCACCAGCACTCTTGGCCAGGGGAGCCTAAGGACTTTGCAAGACCACAACTCCCAGGATGCCATGGCAGGGAGAGCTGAGGTCCAACTGCATTCCTTCCACAGATGAGAAGGAGTCTCAACCTCCCTTGGTGACGTCACGCTCCCTTTGTGACGTCAGAGGGAAGCAAAGGCTCGCAGGTGGCCCCAAGGACAGGCTCGAGGTCAAAGCGGAAAGCCTTCCAAAGCAGGGCACGGATGGGAGGGGTCACCAGGGAGACTGGGAAGCGCGTGCCTTTCGCTCCAAGGCCCGAGACTTACCTTGGCAGCCATGCTTTACCTCGGCGCAGACCCGGGCCCCCCTTTTATTCTAATTCTGTTTTCCCCCTCCCCCTTTGGAGAAGCCAGCGGAGGCGGCAAAGCGGCGTCCTCGCTGAGCAGCCAATCAGCGCGGGAGGAAGGGCCGCCGCTCTCCGCTCATTGGATGGAGCCAACCTTTCCTCTTTCTCTCCTTCCCTCCCTCTCTCCCTCCCTGCTGCTTCCCGCGTGTTCAGAGCTCGAGCCAGCTGGAGCGCGCGCGTGATCAGGCCCGGCGCGGGAGCGCGCGCGCTCTCAAGAGGATGAATCCCTCCCGCGTTGTTCATTTGCAACAGGCCTGAGCCAACTTGGGCCTTGCAGGTGTTTTGGACTCCAACTCCTACCATTCCTAACAGCCTCAGGCCCTTTCCTTTTCCCCCTCAGCCGCTTAAGGCTCAGGCCTGCTCTATACTATAGAATTAATGCATGGCAGTTAAAAGTGGTGTCTAGCTGCATTAATTCACCAGTGTAGAGATGCACTCTGGAACCAATGTGCCAAGGCACCTTTGAGACCCTCAAAAGTTTTCCTATGGTGCACGTCCACACTATATGAGGGTTGAATGAAAAGTAATGCCTCCACCTTCGTAACTCCTCAACAGATGGCAGTACTGCTATGCTGCAGGTACTGTCTTGTTCAGTAGACTCTCCTCTACCGTTCCATTTTGGCAGGAAGCCTTAGGATTGAACGGTTGTGTTGTTAAAGTGCGAAGTATGGAACTAGGTGCAAACGGCCGGTCAATGTGACATAAGCAATGTGCAGTCATTAAATTCTTGACAGCAGAAGGTGTCACCCCAAAGGGGATTAGTCAGAGAATGCAAGCTGTTTAGAGTGATTGTGTTGATATGAGTATTGTGCATCGTTGGGTGAGTAAGTTTGAAGATGTTGAGGTGGGAACATCGGACTTGCTTGAAAAACAAAGAGTTGGAAGTCCTGTGACAGCAACCACTGAGTTTCACAAGCAAAAGGTTAACAGTGATTCAGGATGATCATCCTATCAGAGAGAAATTTCAAGCATAATCAGCATTTCAAAAGAATGTGTGGATCACGTTGCTTTGCTTGGCTATTGGAAGATCTGTGCACAGTGGGTACCCAGGATGCCGATGCCTGAAATGAAAGCGCACAGACTTGAAACTTTAGAGACTGGATCTCACCACCGTCTGACATCCTCCAGTCCAGATTTAGCACTGTCTGACTTCCATTTGCTGCTGATAATGAAAGAAGAGCTGCGGGGATATAATTATGCTTCTGATGAAGACGTTGAAAGGTGTCACCCCAAAGGGGATTCATCAGAGAATGCAAGCTATTTATGGTGATTGTGTTGATGTGAGTACTGTGCATCGTTGGGCAAGTAAGTTTAAAGATGTTGAGGTGGGAACATCTGACTTGCATGACAAACAAAAAGTTGGATGTCCTGTGACCACACACTTCACATGCCATCACAGCAGAACTTCAGAGACTGGATCTCACCACCGTACAACATCCTCCATACAGTCCAGATTTAGCACCTTCTGACTTCCATCTGTTCCCGATAATGAAAGAAGATCTGTAGGGACATCATTATGCTTCTGATGAAGACATTGAAAGAACTGTGAGACGCTGGTTGCGGAAACAACGTGTTGACTTCTTCTGTGACGGCTTCAGAAAACTTGTTAATTGTTGAAATGTATCCAATTGTCTGGTGATTATGTGGAAAAGTGAATAGTGATAGTTAAAGAGCACATTCTAAGGATTAATACTGTGTTTGTGATTTATTAAAATATTCCCATCCAAGCCCAAGTAACAAAGGTGGAGGCATTACTTTTCATTCAACCCTCAAAGAATTAATACAGTTTGACACCACTTTATCTCCTGTGGGGAGCCCCCGGTGGCACAGTGGGATAAACCACTGAGCTGCTGAACTTGCTGATCGAAAGGTAGCAGGTTTGAATCCGGGGAATGGGGTGAGCTCCCCCTGCTAGCCCCAGCTACTGCCAAGCAAGTAGTTCAAAAACATGCAAATGTGAGTAGATCAATAGGTATGGCTCCGGCGGGAAGGTAACGGCGCTCCATGCAGTCATGCCTGCCACGTGACTACGGACAACGGTGGAGATGAGCTCCAACCTCCAGAGTCGGACACGACTGGATTTAATGTCAGGGGGAAACCTTTACCTTTAACCTATCTCCAGTGGATCAGTGCTGTGGAATCATGGAAGCTTTAGTATTACAAGACTGCCAAACAGTCACTAAGCTCCTGCTCCCAAGATTCCATAGCATTGAGTCGCAGCAGTTAAAGTGGTGTCAAACTGCATTCATTCTACAATGTAGATGCACCCCAGGACTGAAATGGACTTTCTCAGATTTAGGCCCCTTCCACACAACTGAATAAAATCCCACATTTTCTGCTTTGAACTGGAATATATGGCATTGTGGACTCAGGTCCCTTCATACAGCCATATAACGCAGAATATCGAGGCAGAAAATCCCACAATATCTGCTTTGAACTGAGTTATCTGAGTCCACACTGCCATGTATTCCAGTTCAAAGGAGAAAATGTGGGTTTTTTTTTCAGATGTGTGGAAGGGGCCCCAGATAACCCAGTTCAAAGCAGATATTGTGGGATTTCCCCCCTTCATATACTGGATTATATGGCTGTATGGAGACCTGAGTCTCAAAGGCGCAACAAGATGCCTTTGCATACTGATGTTCCAAGCTAACAATGGTTTCTTCCTGCCCTCCTTTGCACAACAAGTGTTCAGAACGGGAACCCGTATCAGTGGAACTTTTCGCAAGATAGGTTTGATTTCTGCCAGATTCCTTTATTTGAAACTTTTTGCTGTTTAATTGGAGGTTTGTAAAAGGAGAAACCAATCAGGTTAATCCAGTGCTTACTCAGATTGTGATTTGGCTGTTTCCTGGCTGAGTCACGCAATGAAATATTTGAGTAATGCAGAACGGTTTAATAAGGCACTAGTCAGTTCATACATGTGCTTGGATCCAGTTGCAGGCGGCATTCCTTAACCAATTTCTCTTGTGTTATCCACACTGAATGCACTGTGATTTATTTCTGAGTGTGATCGATATGAATAGGACAATTTGGTAACTTGAATGTGATCTAGTGCTTTAAACATTGGATTATATCTCAGGATGTTGCTTCCTATAATAATGTTGCTTCCTATTATAAGCACTGTGCTACATTATCTAATGTAAACATAGGCCACTGAAATAAAAAAAATAAATCTTATTTTGGGAATATTAGGAGCCCCCCATGGCACAGTGGGTTAAACCCTTGTGCCGGCAGGACTGAAGACTGACAGGTCGCAGGTTCGAATCCGTGGAGAGTGCAGATAAGCTCCCTCTATCAGCTCCAGCTTGTTATGCGGGGACATGAGAGAAGCCTCCCACAAGGATGATAACACATCAAAACATCCAAGCATCCCCTGGGCAACGTCCTTGCAGACAACCAATTCTCTCACACCAGAAGCAACTTGCAGTTTCTCAAGTTGCTCCTAACATAATTTTTTTTAAAAATAAAGGGTGATGCAGAATTTTGGTCTAAAACAGTATCTCTTTCCCAACTCTGTTACACTTACCAATGCTTGTATATTAAACTCACTGAAAGTTATCCTCAGGCTTCCTTATAAAGACAGTAACATGACAGTCACAGCACACAAGAAATAAGAGCTACAGAGGGAAGAAAAAAAAAGGAAAAATTAGTTTAAAGCCCTTATGAGATTGAACCAGATAGACCAGTCCAGGGTACTTGCTAGATTGGCCAGACACTTGGGAAAGACTCAGGGTGCTTCTACACTGTAGAATTCATCCATTTTGATCCCACTTTAACTGCCATGGCTCTATGTTATGGAATCTTGAATGATGTAGTTTGGTGAGGCACCAGCACTCTGGAAGAAAAGGCTAAAGATCATGCAAAGCTACAGCTCTTGGGATTCCATAGCATTTAGACATGGTCGTTAAAGGGTTAGGGTTGCTATTAATTCTACAGTGTAGATACACCCTCAAACGCTTTGGGAAGGAATGGAAAAATAGCTTTGCTTCTATTCTTGCCTTGGCTTCTAAAATCTCTCAATTGCTGGTACTGGGATAACAGAGGGCTGAACAAAAAGCCTCATATAAAATTTATTTACTTTATTTACAGTATTTATATACCGCCTTTCTCATCCCTGGGGGGACTCAAAGCAGTTTTGGATGCTTATCTTTCTAGGCCACATGGAGCTGCCTTTTCATTGAACCATAGAGTTGGAAGAGACTACAAGGGCCATCCAGTCCAACACCGCCTCCCCTTGTGTGTGTGTGTGTCAGGAGAAACTGCAAGTCACTTCTGGTGTGAGAGAATTGGCTGTCTGCAAGGATGTTGCCCAGAAGACGCCCGGATGTTGTACCATCCTATGGGAGGCTTGTCTCATGTCTCTTCATGGGAAGCTGGGGCTGACAGACAGGAGCTTACCCTGCTCCCCAAATTTGAACTACTGACCTTTTGGTCTGCAGTCCTGCCAGCACAAGGATTTAACTCATTGGCTTCAGTCCAACCCCCCGCCATGCAGGAACACACAAAGCACTCCCAACAGATGGTCATTCAGCCTCCAAAGAAAGAGACTCCACCACACTCCAAGGCGGCTAGCTCTAACTATCAGGAAGTTTTTCCTAACGTTTAGATGGACTCTCTTTTCCTGCAATGTGGATTCATTGCTCCATCCTAGTCTCTAGAGCAGCAGAAACCAAGCATGTCCTCTCCTCAAGGTGACGTATCCCACACTGCAGGAAAAGGGAGTCCATCCCATGACCGAACATCTCTTTTGCTTGACTCATTCTGTGATCTTCTCCACAATCCTCTCTTAAGTTCTTTGTGTTGTCCTTGAATCCCTCCTTCCTCAAGTGTAGCATTTGAGCTGGAGGTGTGAAACTAGGATTTTGTCAGGCTGTCAACCTACTTGGACAATAATCTTTGTCAAGATGAGCTTCATCATATCAAGGGTGTGATGAAGCCGAAAAACATTTCCCCCCCCCCCCTCTTATCATCTCCCAATGTGAGGCATAGAAGGCGGGTGAGGAGGGACCCAAATGGTTAACATTTTAAATCTTCCGTTTTGCAA